ATTGCACGAGTTTATTTTATTAGGTTGTCCCAAAAGTTTCTTTCGCTTTATTAATAAGTAATACATGCACGATATTTTATGTTTTATGTTACATTACTGAATTGTGCACGATTCGTTTTGCTCCATTACTGTTACAACGTGAATATCTATGAAATTAGATTGTCTATTTATATAAACACGACTACATAAAATAATTGAGCGGAACTCGCGAAAGAAACTTTCGGGACAACCTAATATAACGAATATGGATAAAACTGAGTGTATACAAATGAAAACTATTTTTGTTGCAGATCTGGTAATATTTATCTCGTAAATTATATTTGTGTATCTTGTATACCTCTATAATTTTATATTTATTGTGTTTTATTACATTCTTCTATTTTTCAAGTTCTTTTTTTTTATTAGAAGCTGAAGTTGAAATTGTAGTTTTCTGTTTCGTTGAAATAAACAAGTATATATTTTGATATATGCGCAATAATCGTATAAAATATGATATGTATTATATACTTAAGTATTGTCTATACTTAAGAATATGCTATAAACCTCAATTCTAAACATTGATGTGGGATAGGACTCCATTTGTGGCAAGTCACTAGAATAATACGTTATATGTCGCTATCATGGTAACACAATTGAAACCTGTAACCTTTTGTGTCTTCCAACGAGAACAGAATCGAATGCGGATATTTGAGTGTCATGGGTAACCACTTGAAACGAGATCAATGATGGTACCACCGTAATCTTGTTCCAAAAGATTTCGGAATTCAGCCTCACTTAGGTCGATTTGAAAGGACTCAGGTTGCCGGGCTCGGATTGCAAGGGACTCTGACTATCGATCACTGAAATATTGTTTATTATTATTTGTGTGAATTAAATATTAAGAATAAAGTGTTTAAAATATTCCTGAATTTGGCTTAGGAATATTTCAGTATATCACTGAAATATTGTTTATTATTATTTATGTGAATTAAGTATTAAGAATAAAGTGTTTAAAATATTCCTGAATTTGACTTAGGAACCTCCCTTTATGTGTTACTTAATTGTAAAGAAAAGAATCCTGACAAATAACTCATACGCAATAGTTATTAATTACATGTATCTCTTATTATTATATCTTTAACCTTATCCGAATATCCGTAAAAGTATAAATTCCCTCCCATTACTATCCCTTCTACCCCATCGTATTTACAAGCTCAAACTTCTGAAACAGTACCTGAATTTTACACAAACGCTTTCAAAACTTCTATCACAGAACTCACGAGAGTTTTCAACTACCTTCACCACCCTAATTTACCTACAAAATAAGAAGTTACCACCGTCAACCGGTGCAATTTACCCCGAACGGTCGGGAACCGCAACCGTTACCTCACAATACCAATCATCGGCATCGCCCCAGCAGCAAAAGGTTGGAATCTCCCAGCGAGAAGTACCTTTCAGTACGTGCACTCAATTTCCCCGATATCCACGAGTATTCGCGCGACAATGTCCCATACCGAACCGCAGGTTGGCGTTCCTCGGTAACGTTTCACCCTCTCGAGGTGGCATCAAAGGCTCGCGTAGGAAGCAATGCCCCGATACGAGTTCAGACATAACCAGAAATGAGAGAGGATTACGATCGGGAAGGACGAGCCTTGTCGGGGAGTAGGGGCTAGATATACAGGCACGTTCTCGTGTTACGAGATACGATGGTTCGACGAGCAAGAAGGAAGAACCACGCTATGCGCCCGCATTACGGTTTAACGGCGCACGTATAACGCCGGTGGTTACCGCCGGTTATAAAAGGAGGACACTTTAAAAGCTTCTCGAAAGTCAGCGCACACATGGCGCCCTTTTTCCATGCCCGTTTGCTCGGTTGCGTCTTCTAAATGCATGCGCCCGCTCTGAAACTTACTTAACGCCCGAATATCGCGCGTGTTCCAGCGTTTGCAGACACGGCTGCACCATCGAGGGCTGTTGGGACCAGACCTAGCCACGCGGTTTTCCGCTGGTCTCGGCTTTCACGCGAAACGTTTTCTAACTGCTTGTACATAGTTGTAAACGTCTTTCCCAGGCGTGCGCCCTCTTCGGCGCTGTGCCAGGCGAGGTGTGCACCTTGAAGGGCTTTCTGTGCTTTACCAGCGCTAGCAAAGATCGATTTTTGGGTTGATTCGCGAGTAACTTACGGTAACGAGTAATTGTACTTTCGGAGGACCTCCTGTAACAAACTTTTTAATTTGCCTGACAAATAGGGTAGTCGACGATGGTGATTGTACAGGGTGTTCGGTAACTGGTGGTACAAGCAAAAGAGGGGTGATTCTATTGGGTTGTCCGGAAAGTTCATACCTATTTTTAAGAAAAATTCAAAGGCATATTTGAATTTTGATGTATATTTATTGAATTATATATATACCATTTTGTTCCACAACCTTTCCACCTATTAAGGAATGTACACATGTTATTTATTTTCAGGCATTCCGATATATTCAGACCTGTACTGCCTACTAAAAATCGGCATGGACTTTCCAGACAGCCCTCTCCAGACACTACACGAAAAAATAATACGAAAATATAGAACAAAAATTTTTCATCGGACGCTTTGTTTCCAGAGAATCGACTTTGAATTTTCGCCGAATACGGGTGGACTTGATCGTGTCCCGTTATAATGAATCTCACTGTAGATCGATGTCTCTATCGAAGTTACGTTGATCAAAACTTCCAATGGCACGGAAATGTTTTCTTACTTATTATTTTACTATTATTATATAAAACAATCCAATACGTTAATATGCATACTTCTTCCCTTAGTATCTTTCAAATATTCCATCCAAATTATATCCTAAAAATTTGAATTAACAACGTTACATCGAAAAAGAAAAGCACCCCCTTAAGGCAGCAATTTTCTCTGCCAAAAATAAAGGGAATCTCTGCTTGGAATTCCAAGCTTCAATCGCCTTTCCAAAGCCACTGGCTTTTGCATTAAATATAAACAGTATGCTCATGTCGAAGCTCTGCAAATAGGTATGTTTACGAGTGCCCGTTTTCCATTTTTCGGCCAACCTTATACGCTCCTCCCCCCCCTCTTCATCTCCGTCCCCGTGTTTATCCGACATTGCGATCGGTATCCAGTACGCTCGAATGGTTTTCGATCGAGCTGCATCACAATATCCACGACGTGGCCATCATCGAGCGCGATTATATCGGCCGTGAAAGCAGGCTCCAATTTCGCGATGTTGCTTCGCACGACGATCCTTGCTTTAAAAGACCACGCGTAAAACGGACTACCGCGAGGGAATATTTTTGACCCACTGAAAAATACCCTGGTCTCCATTTTATCTTACGAACGTCTCATGTCTGGAAACACGCAAAAATATGTGCTTTCGCGCTTGGACAGCTTCGGGTTGCCATCACTTGGTTGCACTGTTTTGTAATTTTTTCTGTCTCGTCTATACGGCAGACCTATCTAGTTCGTGAGCTAAAAAATATAAAATCAGTGGGTGTTGTCAAATATGATTTAATTCATTCGGAAATCAAATTTTAATTGCATCTCGAATTTCCCATTGTTATTCCTATGTATTTTGAGAATGTATAATAATATTTCTGAACATGGAAAGTATTATATGTTTATTTCAAAATTAAATTTCCTTATAGAGGACTGAGAACGGATACCATAATAATAACATACTTAGATTGACATCGTTGTATATGAAATTGATAAACGTTCTATATTTTTATAGCAGTCGTTGACTCGTCTAGTGACTTCTCAGTTTAATTATGATCATATGACTGGATAATCTAAATGGAAGATCATGTTCAACGAGACCAGTGTGCTCTAATGAAAAATTTGGAGGTAGATAAGATAAGCCCTTGGACCGCAATGTCGACTTGCCACGCGAGATTGTTTTCGACTCTTCGAAGAATCGCGTGTGAAACCGACGTATTTTATTTTTATTTTTATTTTTTTTTAATAATAATGGTACATGCACTTTCAACTCGAGCTTTTCATATTTAACTGGCAAACCTCGTTTTGAAACCTCACTTAAATTTAATGACTACGGAGAGCTCCACTTTTCAACCGTTTGCAAAGAATCTCGGCGTTCGAAAGTACTCGGACAAATATTTGATCGTACATATATTACTGAAATTTCCAAGACTTCTTGCTGTTATCGTAGAAACCGTATTCGCGCAGAATGTCCCGCGAGATGTTTCTCATATTTCATGATTTTCTTCAACCTCGTTCCTTTTACCCGTAGCGTCTTTCAAATCAGCATTTTCCAAACATTTTAGTCGCGTGACGTATCTTGAGACATGTTTAAAGAACACTTGCGGTTGCGTATAGTTATCTAGTTTTTGAAACGAGAAACATGTAAATAATGTTCAAATGTATTTCATTTTTTTTTTTGCATTCCTCAACTACTTCCTTATCGATTCATAGAATTTTTTTATCTCATATTTTACTCATTAATTACAATGTCTCGAAAAACACTTCGTGATACAATATAATGTTACTCAGTCAGTCAAGATTAGTAATATTATTACACATTTCTACGTGAAACAAAAACAAATTATGCAAGTGTATACCTATAATAAAGTCAAGAATAAATACAGAATTCGATAAAAATTGAAAAAGAGAACTTTATTTTGCTCACGAATGATTAAATTTCGTTTACGACAACATCGATTCGACCACGGTCAGGAAACTATCAGTGGGATTCTAATCTCGCACCAATGTTTTGTGTAATCAAGCCAAATTCCGGCACAAAGGACAGGGGAATGATGAAAAATTTTCGAGCCAGCGATTCTTTCATCAAATCTCCCCAGAGTTCTTCTATTTGTTGCATTCTTGCCTCATTTACGATCCCAATGAAAAACAAGCAATTAAAATGCCCATGGAAGAGGATCGCCGTGGCGTGGAAGTAATTTTACGTTCACGGACTCTGCGAACGCGTTGGTGTAACTTCTCGTTCCCCTTAATTAACCAAGCTCTAAAGAATATATAATTTTTTGGTAGGTCGAGCGAATTTTCGGGAGGGAGAAAACGAGAAGGTGTGCGGAGGACGGTCGTAAAATTTAAGCTGAAATTAAACGAAACTACGAGCAATCGGCGTTTCTCATTCGACGGTAAATTGAACTTTAAGTTCCACTTAAACAGTAAGTGGAAACGATGGAACAGGTCTTAGAATTTCAACCTTCCCCTATTACCCTATCGCTATGAATTAGTTGGACGGGTTTGTTTAACGAAAGTATTCGAGAGTGCTCATTAAGTATTCGCTACATCGGAGGGTTGATATAATTGCAACTTCGTTCTCTCGCTTCTGGCGACATAAATTTCAATCAACGAAGCGAGCTACCTGATCGACTTTGTAAACAGAGGAACCGGTATTAATTGAACCTCTGTTATTCAAATGGTATACTATTCGAACGTTCAACCGACGGGAATCCAGTAAAAGTAAATCCTTGTTGTATTCGGGGGTAGGTAGACAGAGATGGCGGAGAAGGGATTAGAGAGTTGAAGGGAATGCCGGTGGTAACTTTTCTCCTGGGTGAGCTGCTGAGCTCATCAATAAGATTTAATGTTTCAGATGGACCTTTACTCGAATAACGGACCAAGTATAAAAATGCACGCAATTTATTCGTTCAATGTGAAATCAGAAATTAATTGTGTTATTCAGATTGAAGATTGGATCGATCGAATAATATATATTCTAAAATCGTTTCTCTTTTATTCCTTTCTCGACGTTTTTTTATGTAATGAATTATGCACATTTCTGCTTCTCCGCAGGTCCTACTGTAGATGACAGAATTTATTTATGGCGTGCTTCCAAAAGGGTCGTGGCGAAATAAAATTTATGATTCGACTGTGCCAATAGCAAACTTTCCTGGATTGTATTCGAAGGTATAGAATTAGATTCAATTTAAAATACTGATAATCTACTTATAGCATACATAGGAGTGGTATTTGTATAATAACCTGATTTTCTGAGTTGCATTATTCGTTAAAAAATTCTCTGTTTGATTCGAATAATTGTGTCTTCTAATTTATCTACTTGTTTCGATAATAAACTAATCCAAGTCCACTGTTGTATAAGATCTAATAACAGCCCATACAAATTTAAATGAAACATAAACCAAAAAAAATATAAAATCAAAGTGCAATGCCTCGAGTGCAACATGCTTCCCAAAAATTGCACATGCCCAAAAAAGGAATCCAAATTAGTAATGAAGTTTCCATTGTGTCGCTAGCAACGTACTATCTACTCTACTCTACTAGAGTAAATACATCCTCATTTGCACGTGAAATAATTCCATAGAATAATGACGTTTCCCGACACGTGCGAAGGTGTAAACACAAACGCCTGATAGCTCGTCCAATTCAAACCAACGAGAATGCGAGGGGGAAGCGAAGCGAATGACACCGACGAAAAGAGAGCGAACAGTTCCCTCAGAGGGGCAAGACACTCAACGGAGCTGAATGTGTCAGAAGCCGTTGAAGAGCGACAGACAACTGCAAAAGAGACAGAAGCGAGGTAGCGCAAATTAGCGCCAGCATTAATAAAGCTGAAAGCTCCTTTAAAACGGCCCCTCCATGGGCCAAGGGAGCCCCGAGTAGTCCGTGTAAGCTATTACTCTCTTTTGTATACGATCGTTTTTCGTACTTGTTTCTCTTCTTTCGTCGAGAGCGTAATCTGTAAATTGACGTAAATCGACCGACCTGGTACACGAGATACTTTATTTTATTATTTATATTTTCGCATCATCGACGAATAACAAATTTCGTTTGGCGATGCAAGAGTCGAGGGGAGGAGATCGAGGTTACATGCAACGCTGTGATAAGTTTGCTATGTGTATTATAGGTTTCCGAAGAGAAATTATGCTTTTTTAATTTCATTGATTGTGGTTAATATTGAAGTTTATTCGATTGTTCTATATGGCTTTCAAAGAGAATCTTTGGAATTTTAAATATTGGCAAGTATAGAGTGTTTATTAATTTTCACAGGTAACATTTCAATGAGAAAATAAAATTGACAATCAAAGGTCACTGTTCTCCAATTTTAATTCTAAAGTATAGTTCAACCTACGTAATGTAGAGACTAGGAAAATTGCAATTAATTTCTCAGTTTATAGACATAGGTGCACCTAATTTAAAAAATTGTAAAACCCTATAATTGATGCTTCAGTATTCGCAGTGCGACATCTTCAAAGTAAAAACTACGTCGATAAGTTGAAAGAGAAAGTATCAATTCTAAAACTCTCACTGATTCGTAACACTGTCGAGTATGGATCTGCCTCTGTTTCAGAATACTGAAGAAGTCTAGACGACGAAAGAATAAACTTGATTGGTAGGAGGATTTCCCGAGTACAAAAGTCCCAACTGTACTGTTCTAAATCCTCTAACGTGTCATTAGAAGCATTGTATAGTTTTCACCCCTCATACTTGGATAAAATGTTTGAAGTTAATTGGCACCTTCTAATTCTTGTCTCTAATTACGATGACCCTTATGCATTCAAGGTCTATCCATCGAAAAAGAGCGATAACCAACCCCCAACCTCTAAATTTCTATTCCTCAAATGTTTTACGGCGAGATCCCTCGGTCTATCTTCGCGAGCCACTCGCTGATTCGTGACTCAAACGTCGGAAACAAGTTCCTCTCGTTGCTGCATTCTCCACTCGGCCGGCCTTTTAAACCCTGACGCCTCTTGTATTCATTTCCCCTGCCATTCTTCGCGCGCTACCCTCGGCAGCACCCTCTGTTCGACTCCACTCTCTTCCTTCACTGTTGCGACAACCACCCTACGCTTCTATCACGGGGGAGAAAGCTCATAATCTCGGAATTTGCCGCGAAACAACGGCCGGGCCAAAGGTATCTTCGTATGTATACGCGTCGGAGAATCGAGCGGCTTCGTTTTATTTCGGGGTACCAGCGACGAGATAGCGAACAGCCAAAGGGAGTAGGAACTAGACAAGGGGAGGAATAAAAATGTCGCTTCGAGAGAAGGAAGAATTTGTACGGGGATTTTCGTTTCTGGCTCGTTGCGCGATTGGCTTATAACGCCTTGTCCTAATTGCACGTCGCGTGGCGACATAATCGCGCGTAGCTGAGCCGCGGCAAGAGTGGAAGTAGGGCGTAGGTTCTGTTCGCGCTAACTTAAATGTCGCGCGACCGAGCGACAAAATTCAAACCAGCTCGAATCGTGTTGCTCCTTATTCAACTTTTAGTTACTAAAAGGTATTCTGAAAAGGATGTAATAGACTTGTGATGACAAACTCATTGCATCGCAAGTCCTCGCATCATCTTCCAAATGTCTGCGAAGAATTAATAAAACTTGGCATTCCACGCACCTACTTGTTATATCTAACGATATTGTTACAAGTTTGCAGCCATTAGCTCGCTATTACTCGCGACAAAGGATAAACAAATGATTCTTTGTCGCGAGTAATACCGATTACCAGGTCTCACCACGTGGAGGTTGCTGCGAGTGGAGACCCGCGAGGGAGATAGAAGGAAACAAAGTTCCTCCGATCTCTCTCTGTACAATCTTAGAAACTAAGTACGCGAAAAAGGAAATAGAAGGAAACAAAGTTCCTCCGATCTCCCTGTGTACAAGCTTAGAGACTAAGTACGCGAAGAAGGAAATAGAAGGAAACAATGTTCCTTCGATCTCCGTGTCTGTCTCTGTCAAGCAATCGATTTAACTAAGAAAATGAAGCTAACACGCGAGAATAGACGCGACGCGACGCGAACCGTACAATCGATTTACTAGGTCAGTCCCGTTTCCTCCTGGCGAGTCCGATTCGAGAGAAAGACTGACGTCTCCGATCAGTACTCAACTCCCTGCGTCCGCAATCGGAACTACCGTAGGATCCGGCTCAAGACGACCGACAGGTAGACTCTCTGCATCCAAGTCGGGAACCAAATTGACTCAAAATCAAGATACAAAGAGATATCGTCTCTGCATCTCCCCATCGGGTCATTGCTGACCTCGCCTCGCGCGCGAGAACTGACACCGCCACGTTTTCGCGGGAGCCGATCGGTCAAGCCGACTTTTCCAGGTAGGAGGGGTTATGCCTCGCAACGGTTATGACCTGCGTCTGTCATATACGCCCACGTTCAGGGGAAATACCCCATCCGCGTCTTCCCCCAAATCATTGTTGTATTCGAGTCAAAATAAGGGGAGTAATCTCTCTGCGTGACTCTATACCCAAGACGTCTTACGAGAAGAAAACTCCCCAAATGTTGTTCGAAGCCAACGATAATTTGAGTTCAGTACGTCTTACGATAAGGCATTACTCTGATCGTGTTTGTATACAACTCGGCCTTGGCCATAGACCGACTTACGCGAGGGCCCACTACCCGAGCAAACCCGTTTCACCCGTCTTACGAGTTGGCAGACTCTACCCGAGTGTCGAAGCCAGCAACGACCCAACTTGACACGACTTACGATAAGATAACTCTCTGAATCTTGTTCGATAGTCAAAGTGGACCGACTCGGCATGTCTTACGAGAAGAAAACTACCCTGCACCTTGTCCGAATCCCAAGGTAGATCTGACATAAGACGACTAACCAGGAGAGAGTGCTGAATTCGGAACGTATTGTATTTCTCTCGAATAAAACTAACTAGAGGACGGCAACCGACTGTTCAGTTCGATCACACGGCCGGTCACTTGCTTATTACATGAAGTCAAGTGACCGAAATGGGAATCGAAACAACGTGCCAATATAGGCAAACGAACCAACAAATGAAGCTACTTATTTACGATTGTTTGATAAGAGACAGGCATTCGTTCACGCGCGGATTAAATTAAGTTACAATAAGTACGCGAAGAAGGAAATAGAAGGAAAGAAAGTTCCTTCGATCTCTGTTTATGTACAATCTTAGAAACTAGGTACGCGAAGAAGGAAATAGAAGGAAACTAAACTCCTTCGATTTCCTGATCTGACTCTGCCAAGCAATTATTGAAAATTTCCCTTTTTTAATGGGGAAAATGAAGTTACAATGAAATCGCGAACACGACGCGACTGTGCAGACAGACTTACTCGGTCAGTCCCGTTTCCTCTTGGCGAGTCTTTAGCAAGAGAAAGACAATGTCTTTCTCTCGAAAGACTAGCTAGAGGACGGCAACCGACCTTTCTGTCCATCTACACGGTTGGTCACTTTGCTTATTGCATGAAACAATAATGACCGAAATGGACGAAATTACGCGCCCTCGAGGGCGGCCGAACAAACAACAGAAAAACGGGTAATAATTACTTGGCCTTATATTCTAACGCGACTTAGACCGCCCCGTTCCCACGCCGGATGCGATGTGAAGCTCGATGGAAGCGACATATTCGTTCGATGAAATACCTAGATAAGAGAAACTGAAAATCATAATAGACATACGTATACAGAAGTAATGTAATGAAATAATTTGAAAATAGAAAAGGAAAACTATCAATTAAAATATCGAGTCACATAAAACTCCATCGATCGCTGCAATTCGAAGAAACAATTCAATTGCGTATCGTTTCCCCACCATGCGAATCTACCTAGCACAGAGAAATCAAAGCACCAAAACAATCAAGAAATATAAATAATACTAAATTAAATAATTGAAGTAATAGTTAATTAGTGCCGAATGAAAAAATAATAAATAATGAAAAATTAATACGAAAATATAAATTAACATACATAAGAATGAGATAATTAAATTAAAAAATAGCCTGAAAATAAATATGCAAATTAAACAAAATGTTGTATAAATTTAGTTAAACCTAACCAAAGACACATAATTGTGTCTTGGAATACAGGGAAATATAAGCGAGCATGATGATAACATTGCAAAAAAATAAAAAATAAAAAAAAATTAAAAATTTGCGTTCGCTCACCAGTGCTGATCATCATTTACCAATTGG